ATATAGTCAAAGGCACTTTTCGTGTGCCATATGTCGTAATTGAGGTGCCATTAGCTGCCAAAAGTGCTTGTCCTGGTCGCCCGTAACGACGGTCATGACCGGTGGCAGGCAGCACGCTGACTTGTGCACCCGTATCAACTAAAAAACTGCGTCCAGAGTTTTTGTCTGTGACGTAATAAAGGTTTGAATCGCCGACCGCCAAGAGGTTACTGACGGTCGGCTATGGCGTTTTCCGAAACCACAAAAGAACATGGCGGGCGACATTTTTTGGCTTTCTTGCCGAATTTCCTGTGATAAAAACACATTTCAGACAAAACATGAGATGGTTTGAACGAACTGGTTTTTTGTACAGCGTTTGTCACCTCATAGCCTTTTGCAGTTAAAATATCATCTGCTTTCCTTGCCAGCTTCCGAAAATCGTCGCCCGTGGTTGTTAAAATGTCTGTAAGTTGAGACCGGACGTCTGGTGGCAGATGACTGACGAACAAATGCGAAATAAGAAATCAGGTGTCTTACCTACTGGATACAATGCAAGCATGTTGTCCATAAGTTCCGTTGCCGTTCCATCCCCTAGTCCAGGCATTGAACAAAGGCGCGCAGCTCGTTCAGGATCCGTTAGCGAACATTTAGTAGTGAGCTTCTCTTTGAGATCTTGGTACTTGTTCGTTTCCGGCGGGTTATTGAGAACATTAAGAATGCTGGCAGCGGTATTTCATCCAGAGCGGCAACCACGTAGTGGTATTTTGTTTCATCTGTTGTGATATTTCGAACAGCGAACTGCGCTTCGACTTGGTGGAACCAAACGGCAGGATTTTTAGTCCAGAAAATCGGCAGCTTTAATGATACCGCTGTTAGGCCTACTTTGTTGTCTTCACTCATATTCTTCGTTATGTGCGTATTCTTTTCTCAAAAGTATGCTTTTGAGGTCGGGTTCACCATTTGAAGCGAACTAACTTCTTTCTAACAAGAAAAAGACTTTCAATTATGTTGATGTTTAATTCATAACAAAGCAATGTTAACGACAAGCGAACAGAAAACAGAATGACAAGTTATCGTAAGAAAAGCACGTAAGTAATCATGCGTGACAAAAACATAAACAAAACAATTGTGACTCATAACGGCTATTATTAGTTAAGTGGTTCGCCACAAACACTAAAAGGAAGAAATGGATGAAATTTCTTCCGACGAATAATGAGGTGGTTGATAACACTAAAAAGCTGAACACTAAAAAAAAGAAATGAATGAAATTTCTTCCGAAGAATAATGAGGTGGTTGAAAACACTAAAAAGCTGAACACTAAAAGGAAGAAGTAGATGAAATTTCTTCCGACGAATAATGAGGTGGTTGAAATCACTAAAAAGATGAATACTAAAAGGAAGAAGTGGATGAAATTTCTTCCGACGAATAATGAGGTGGTTGAAATCACTAAAAAGATGAATACTAAAAGGAAGAAGTAGATGAAATTTCTTCCGACGAATAATGAGGTGGTTGAAATCACTAAAAAGATGAATACTAAAAGGAAGAAATGGATGAAATTTCTTCCGACGAATAATGAGGTGGTTGAAAACACTAAAAAGCTGAACACTAAAAGGAAGAAATGGAGGAAATTTCCTGCGACGAATAATGAGGTGGTTGAAAACACTAAAAAGCAGAACACTAAAAGGAAGAAATGGATGAAATTTCTTCCGACGAATAATGAGGTGGTTGATAACACTAAAAAGCTGAACACTAAAAGAAAGAAATGAATGAAATTTCTTCCGACGAATAATGAGGTGGTTGAAAATGAAATTTCTTTCGGCGGGTGGTTGGGTGATTGAAGTAACTAAAAAGCTGAACACTAAAAGAAAGAAATGAATGAAATTTTTTCCCACGAATAATAAGGTGGTTGAAAACACTAAAAAGCTGAACCATAAAAAGAAGAAATGGATGAAATTTCTTCCGACGAATAATGAGGTGGTTGAAAACACCACAAAGCTGAACACTAAAAGGAAGAAGTAAATGAAATTTTTTCCGACGAATAATGAAGTGGTTGAAAACACTAAAAAGCTGAACACTAAAAGAAAGAAATGAATGAAATTTTTTCCACGAATAATAAGGTGGTTGAAAACACTAAAAAGCTGAACCATAAAAAGAAGAAATGGATGAAATTTCTTCCGAAGAATAATGAGGTGGTTGAAAACACTAAAAAGCTGAACACTAAAAGGAAGAAATGGATGAAATTTCTTCCGACAAGTAATGAGGTGGTTAAAAACACTAAAAAGCTGAACACCAAAAGGAAGAAGTGGATAATTAAGTTGTGTAATTATACAATCTTGCCTTCATTTATTTCGTGTGCCATTTCAATGCTCTAAAACAGTGTTTCCAAAATTTTTATTTAGCCAGCGCCCCCTTGAATGACTTTTTGACTAGCAAACGCCCCCTAACCCAAAAAAAAGTCAGTTGAAGCAACTTTATTCTTCATTTATCATTAGTATAATGTGAAGGTTGAGCCTAGTGAAATACCACCAGCTTGATAATATCTGGCCTCATGTCAGTAAAAACTAGTCTTGAGTCTCGACACTGACGAGGGAATCTTGATATGTAAAAGTGCGGTCACTGCACTAAATACATGCTCTACCAAGAATGATATTTGTACTTGAACGTCTGTTTGCGTATGCTTATACTCGGAAGGTTCGTAAACTTTTGAATCACTCACTCAGTTTTCTGCTGAAGCGCACTTTCTTCTGTCAGGGCATGGAAATAAAAGAGTTCAAAGAGTGAATACAGAACATTACGTGGTTGCGCCAAGAAAATTCCGGACATTATTTGAGGGATTGATAGAGGTGACCAGCAGTGGCAGCAGTAAAAACATACGCAAACAGAAGTTCAAGTGAAGACAAAATTAATGTAGAAGTAAAAGTAATTGGAAATTGATGGTTACGTTTTTGGAGAACCGTTGTAAAATACTGTTTTTAATATAAATAAGTTAAATATGGCGCTTAATTCACTGTAATCAATAGTTTGAACATACGCAACAGAAATGATAAACCGACATTAAAAACAATGTCAGACACAACAGGCTAGATCTTTGCCTTTTCCCAATTTATGTATTACCTATGTAGCCTTATTATTCAATGAACCACGAAATAAAAATGAACCAGTTAAGTGGCAACATGGAGATGGTCCTATCTAGCGTACGTCAGTTCAATCAGATGCCCAGCTCTCACATGTTGCTCTTAATTAGGTGTGCTGTGTAGGGCAGACGGGTTAAAACAATGGTCTTTGAGCGTTGTTCATAGTACACATTATTTCAGATCGAAAAAAAAGATATATATGTCACTTAATATGAAATTAATGTTTGGTATCCATATGCTTTAACTGATTAAGATACATTGTACAGTAACGCTAGTAATCTCGGTGTTCAATTAAAACTCATAAGCCGGGATGTCCAATTTGAATTTAATGTTAATATCGCGACCTTCGAATATCGTTGTTCGTGTTTAAAAAAATATCGAATATCACCCACACATTCTAGAGCCGCCGCCCTACGTTCAAATTAAAAGCATTTTTCAAATATTTTATTTCGTGGCTAATCGTAATCGTCGACGCAATAAGTCAAAGCCAACATGAAAGAGTATCAATCAGCACCGACCAAAAGAAGGCCTACTTATAACCGTCGAGGATGTTTTTTTACTTTACACTATTTTATATTATTATACAATTGCTATCATATATTTTGAGACAGTCTAGCTAGGGCTAGGCGGTCATGTCAATATATCTATAAAGAAATTGTGTAGTTAAACAAAATTAATACCTGCGTAGAGGAATAATTGTGTCGGAATTTGGTTTATCAATGTCGACGGACTAAATGACACTCGTACTTGACGACAAACAGTCAGAATTTATACCCGTGCCAAAAGTCCATGTGCCGTTAATAAGGACCCCAATACCACTGTATGATTTAAAACTGGGCGCCTAATTGCTTTTTATTATGTGCCGTGTTGATATATTTCTTCATAATTACTATATGTAATATTAAAAATGTCAATATGAAAATTTGACAGCGGAAATAGCCAAATTAGTTGAACTAATTTGGCTGATAAATAGCTAAAAACACGTGAATCCTATTCTCTCGCGGGAGTGGGGACATGTATGGCTCATAGCTCACGATCTCTCCAGACAAAAAATAAATTAAAAAGTAAGTATTCCAACTTATCTTTTAAAACATTCTCGACCATATCAAAAAGGTAAATATATCGGAAATGTCGGCTTTAATCTAACCGATACCGATACATGACCGATACCGAAAAAATGGCCGATATTGCCGATACCGATACATCGGTACATCTCTATCCGTAATGCGACCTCACGTTTGTAATGCGTTGTTATGTTGATGTGGTTGCAAACGGCAATAGCGAGTAACGGGACAAATGTACAAGCAGACGAGATTTCAGTCTCAAATGACGAAGCAAACGCCACAGCGCAGAAATCAATTATCTTTGCAAATGTTCTCCAACAAACCAGCATTAAGGTAGGTGTGCATATGTGCGTGTACTGTATGTCCTTGCTTGCGTGCATCAATTAGTACTTTCAGTCATTTCCTCTTCACTAATCGGCTTTCGAAACCATTTACATTCTAGAAAATTTGCACATTACAAGAATATTCAATTCAAAATTGTGTTGAATATAATGCGCATATTTGAAGAAGAATTATAACGGTACTTTACATTAGATTATTTATTTGAAGATCACCTAACAATAGTAAAGCCCATAAAAGAAAAAATCAAAATCATGCCAGTTCGAACCACAACAGTTGCAACGATGCAATATGTGATTCTGTGAACAAGATTTTCCTGGTGTTATTTGTGCTTAACATCGTTCACGTACTCGTAGGCCCTGCTTGAAAACCGAACATCCTGTACCAAATAAATACTGAACGAGTTAATAGATGCTTATCTCCTTTTTTCAATGGATACCTGAAAGTCTGCTGCTGTTGTCCATGAAAGAATTTGCAAAAAAAATCATAATATAATTATATTATATGTTCGAAGCAATCTTCCGTTATGTATTATTATAAATGTGCAAACTGCGGAGAAAGAAAACATGAAATTAAACAGAAGGTGAGAGGCAGAAGTGCGCAAGCCGCTAAATATAATGTACTAAATCTTTTTATGTAGTACCATGTTATCCAAATTAATTATTTGACTATATATATTGAATAACTTTGTTTTTTGAGTATATGTATGCAATCGTGTTATTATTTAAGCTTTTCGAGGCGGATAGTTGTACACCATTGTTTTATTTTACTAATAACTCTTCAATATGATTCCTTCGTCCTAAATTTTGTTTTCTTCCTCTAAATTCACGAATGCACTATTTGGATTGGAACTTGAATTGAAGTTGACGGTGTTGTTGAAGTGGGGAACGGTGGCGGGACGTTTACGACAGTAAAACACGTAAGCCAAAACAAGTCCGACAATTACTAATATGACCACGATTGTCACGATGATTGCAGTAGCCATATCGGTGTTGGTGTAGATCTTGTCAGACAAACCGCAAGCTGTTTTGTAGAAGAATTAATATAAGAATGCAAATTTATGATCATATAAGTTGGCTAGTTTCGGTAGTTTGTGTCTCATTTCGCGACAGGGGGCATCTGACTAACATGGTCTGGGCTCGGTTATTTATGACAGATAAACATGTATCGCTTTACATCAAATATGTATATCACCGTAAAAAGTAGTCCTTCAACAGTTCGGGGCATCTACGTGAGTTATTCTGATATGAATTATCGGTATTATTCCAATGAAATTTTAGAAGAACAATTATTTGTTTCTAGATTTTTACCTTTCCAATCCACATCTTCATCTAAGCAGACAAAGTCACTGATTGTCATTTCATCAGAACGAAGCCCGTGAACTCGAGCTGGTTCAGAACACATAAATCTTATGTCTGTGAATGGTTCGTCCATCTTTTGCTAGGAGGAGAAAAATATTTACACAATTAACTATTCTATTTTTATTAATTTTTTTTTGTTATCGGAGGACGACAGCACATCGACCCTTACCTGGACTACATAGTCCTTAAACCAAGCCATGTACAGTCACATCTAAAAGGATTTTGGTTATAATTCCATTATTGTCAAACGCTCGCTCACGCCGTCAAGCATCTCTTCTCTTACAGTTGTCAGGTTATTCTCGGACAAGTACAATCCAACCAGGTTTGGCATTTGTCTAAAATTCAAATACAGTTGGTGGCAGTGTAATTCTAATTCCAACTGTAATAAATTGTACAAAAGCTGAGAGAATGGTGCACAGAGCGATGAGATGCTGTCTAATTACGTTCGACGCCATTGAAATCAACAAGATTGTCAGATATAACAAGATTTGTCAAAACTGAAATATATAACGCGCTATATACAACTGCGTATGTCCGGCTAAATGGTAGTTTATCGATTGGGCAATCTATTTGGTATTATAACTGAAATTCCTGTGATGTCGTTTTGTGAAGCTAAATTTATTTGTGGCAACAGAGCAACACCAAGAACCGACATGTGTCTTTACTGTTCCAAAATAACTTGCATGGACAAGCTTCATTCAGAGTTAATGCGTAGCCAGCACGCTTCATTATTTACCGTCGACTAGCTGCATCCAAAACACCTTTTATATGCATAATAACGGATTTTAGAGAATATCAAAAACTTTTACTTCTTAGTCACCAATCATGTGATGTTTTTCTTAATCTTACGCAAATCAGCAATGGTTTAAACTTTCAAGTAAATGTAATTTTATACCAGTTGGCAGTAGCTCAAGAGGCCAATTGGAAATTACGTTGGATAAAAACTTATTCGTCGATTCAAAAATGAAATTGTAAAATCTATATTTCGAGAATTGTGTTATGATGAATCCTTTCAAAGATTACCACATATTACCATGGGTTAACCCAACTCTAGCCTTGTCACGGTTTGCCAATGCTCGCTATCACCACCTCCCATGTTTCACATCACGCCATATTTCGTATAAATGGACTGGTTATTTTGCATACTACACTCTTCTTCTTCGGTCATAAGTTATTACATGTTAATTTGTTATAGCCCGTTATAAACCTTAGCACTGAAAATTGCTCATAAAACACATGATTTAAAATATACTACGTCATTTGTGTTAACTTACCTCAAGACACCGTCGGGAATGTCTATGAGTCCATTGTTTTGTAACCATAATTTTTGGAGTTTATTCAGCCCATCAAATGAGTTGGGATATATAGTCGTAATTTGATTGTCACTCAAGTCAAGCTTGAGAAGTTGTCTCTACAAATATGAATTATTAGAATTTGTTTGATAACATTTGCAATACTCTCACTCTGACCGAATGAAATTGAAAATTAGCGAAGCCATGTGAAACACACCCGGTGATGTCTGGCCTTCAAGTTTTCGTTATTTAGAGACTTTAAATACATGCGCGTAAAGTGGCAACCCGAATGTGGACCCATGGCCGGAGTCATGTCCGCTATAACGCAGGTGACTTATTAATTAATTCACAATGACTAAATACCTATAACTTCTGTATTTGATTAGATATTTGCGAAAAAGGAATTCGTCAACACCAAACATAAAACAAATTATTTTGTTCTGTGATGAATTACAATCAACTTACTTGATTTCTGATAAAATTAGGAACTTTTTTCAATTTTAATCCACTTAATCTGACGATTTCAATGGATAATCCGTTAAACAGGGTCTCATCAATACCATTGACAATTGGATTTGGTCCCAATTCAATATTTCGTAAATAGCTATTTTTTAAAAAATAAATATCATAAGTTGGTTTCGTGTAAAAGGTAAACTATATAGTCTTGATTGAGTGACGTATAAAAAGCAAGACAATTTTCGTTAAACGCTTACACTGAAGTGCACTATATTCCTGTGTTTGACTGGAACTTAAATTGGGCATTTTCAAAACATCTTACCTCTCATAAACGAATATTCACAGATTATTATATTTCTAGCTGTATCGAAAATATCATCATCTTTTCACCGTGACTATGTTTCATTTTAATCTTAATTCATTGCGATACGACTATTAAACATTGATATAGCTACATACCTTTTCCCGCGAAGCAAATTCTTTGGAATGGAAGTGATTTGATTTGATCCAAATCTAAAGTTGTGTAAAGCTGGAAAGTATTTGATCATATCTGCTGAGATATACGTCAATTCATTTCCATTGATGTTAAAGTAAGACATGCGATCGAATATACAGTCCGAGGATGAAGCCGTGCAAACGATGTCAGAAATGTAGTTGCCTTTGGAAAAAGAGGTAGATTAGATGGAATTCGCATAGCCTACAGTGATAAAGTCGACAAACCCACCAAGAAACTTTCATTCTCGGTACCGTGTGTTTGATAATTGTTCCTAGCGTAATAAACAATAAATACCTGCAAAATTCATATATCTGAGTCCTTTCAGAGCTGACAAATCACCAAGATCCAATGTTTTCAAATTATTCTCTTGGAAAACAAAACTCTTCGTCAAAGGAGAAATACCAGACGGTATGTAGGTATACCCAGATCCAGAACAGTCGACTACGGGAAACTCGTCGGGCCCTGGAAAGACGAAACGACTATTGTTGCAAGTATAAGCGACCAATTTCAAATCAAGTCATATATATCGGGGAAGAAGCGTTTGGTCATTGCTTTTGAATAGATAAACATTGATTTGGGCATGTGATAGACTTTAGCAAAGTATATAAATAACATATTTCGGCATATCAAATAGATTGAAATATTCTCCCGCTTATTGAAACAGAAATTGTGTCACAACAACAATTGTATAACGGCATATTCGACTTCATCTTGAGAAAAAGACAATCGTTATTGAGTGTTGTATCTTTAAAATATCATGAACGAACCATTGTTTTGTTTATCGTAATTGCAGTTGCATTTCTCGGGGCATGCATCGTTAAATTCTGTTTTCAATTGTCTGTAAGTTTTGGAATTGCTGCTACTGGTATCCGACGGCATTTTATCATCTGAAAAGATACATAGTCAATTTGATTTTAAAAAAAAGGCCATTTTGAACATCAATATACCAGAACCAAGTAGGTAATATTGGTCTACTTTGGCATCATTCGGACTTCTAAGTTCATTTGTAACAGGAGAACGATACTCAAATACATGTAACGCGAAGGTATCGCGTTGGAACTGGTACGGTAATGTTTTTGAGCATGGAGTTTGCTGAAAATATCGACACACCAGCGCGCCGAAATGAAGTGTTCTCATATTTCATAAAAAGTGTTCCAATGAACTAATATAAAACGACAAATGATAGTTGAATTGTCAAGTCTCCTAAAACTCAGAGGAAAATCAAAAGTAATAAAAGAAAAAGACCATGAGCGACTCCTTCCATCTTTATGCAGTGAAAATTAATAACGATATGACTATTTGTTGCGATTTTATATAATAAATTTAGTAGAACGATTGTGACTGACTTGCTGTAAGTTCTTACGTCAAATATATGAAAATCAGAAATACGTTCGTTAAATGAAAATACGATTATTCGTACCTGAAGTAATTTCGTCACTTCTATCACAGGTGAAATCGTAAGCTGTCATTCCGTGGAAAACTTTGTCTTTATTAACGCCTGGTGCTGCGCATTGCATCTTGATATCGGGATATACACCGACAGAATTCCTCTGCATTAACAATATCAAGTGATTTATTATGAATTTTATGAAACTTTTTATGAAGCTCACTTTCATTTATCTGGTTTTGTCAATAATCTAACTTTTCGGTACTGGACAAAAAATAACCCTAAAGAGGTACATGAAAATCCTCTTCATAGCGAGCAAGTAACAGTGTGGTGTAAAGTAGCGCGGGTTCATACTTTTTCGAGAAGTAGAAAATGGCGGTTTCGGTCACTACAGCTCGGTATGTGAAGTTGCTGCAAAAAACTTGAGAATCGTAGGGAAAATGTAACGGCATGGTTTCAACCAGATGCAGCAGCTGCTCACACGGCATGAAATTAATAGATGTTTTATGAGAACCCTTTTCAACACGTTCGCCTGACCTTTCACATTCTGTATTGCAGCTGTATCGGGCCATCTTGGAGATGTTGTATCCAAAAAGTAGATCACACATAATGGCAATCGAATGTCTTGTTAGGTATGTAATAAAAAATTCAACAGAAGCTATTCTTGTATATTTTTTTGTAAAATGAAATGTGGTTCCTTTCTTCGTAACATTTCATTTCGACAAATGTCTCGTCAATTTCTATCTCGTTTCCAACTATTACAATTACAATACATGACCATAACCGCCGCGTGGCTGTGTATATACTGTATATATATTATCAAGTTATCAACGTTCAAGTGAGCTTCCACTCATTTTACAAACGCCCGAGTAATATTCAAGCCCTAGCTTTTTTAAAACTTCATTTCAATTTACATCGTAAATTGCTTTTTAAAAATTGATCGGCAAAAGAACAGTGGCGTGATGATAATTCGTGCTTTTTTGCTTATTGGACATGTTGCATAATCTACATCCGTATTGAACTATAAAACACGATTAGCGTCAGTATCGGATGTCGTCAATGAAAGTTCAACAAAATCAATTAAAAATAAAATATAAACATAAATGAAGCCGTAATACATGCACTACCCTGTAACACCTTATAAATTTGCTGGCTAATATCTGGTGGCTTCCAGTTAAAAATATGTTTTTTAAATACAAACCTTGAGTATCCATTCAGGGAGCCATGCCATATTACAATCACAAATCATTTCATTCTGCCATAAATTGACAGTGAAAGCGTCCTCGCCAAAGTGTTTGAAAGAGTTATCATCTATTGTTTCTAGTTGATTGGCTGCCAAATCAAGATATTGTAATTTGGTTGTTCCTGGAAAATGGAAAAGAAATATGAGACGTGTGAAATTGGCACCCTAGAATGCAATATATGCGATTCTCAATTATTCTTTCAGTATTCTTTTATAACTCATATAATGCACAGAAAAGATCTTTCTTCGTACTCACCCAAAAAAGCGTTTGTATCCATCTTCGTTATTCTGTTATTGCTTATCATCACCATGCGCAAATTCGGACAAGCACTGAAACTCGACGCGTCGATGTATGAGATAGCATTGTCTGACATATCTACGTACTCCAGAGCTGTAATAATCGAATCGAATTGTGAAGTAGATGAAGTAATGGAGTCCGGCCAATGAATTTTAGGCTTTGAAATAAAAAGAACGATGAAATTGCAAATATGTTTACCTCATAATAAACTGACAAATTGTTGGCAGATTTTCATCGAAAATCAAACGCTTCTAGTGTCAAAGAAGTTTAAGGAATTATTCATCTATAGCAGTGGTTCTCAAACTTTTTTAGCCGCGTTCTTATTTTAGAATTTGTCAAGTCTCGCGCCTCACCTCAAATATAATTAGCTAACAATAAGCTACCAATAACAGATGGTAAGACTAAAAAAGTAGGTGTTATTCAAAAATCACGTTGAAATATGTGGATGGAATATAAATATCCGGAATAAAGAAATGTAAATATTCAAAATACGACGGGCCATGTCAAATCCTTACAAGTATTTTAATTTTTAGATAGCTTCACGCCTTGTCTACGCCCCACCATTCGCGAATTACTGATCTAAAGTATAAGACAATAACAATAATTAAGTATGTACGCTGAGCAAAACAACTCAAAATCTTGTCGTAATTGAGAGCTACCGGGCTATATTCATTTATAAGGTATTCAAGTACGCCCCATTTGCTAGATTTTGCAGGGTTTCCTTCGCCTGGTGGAATTTATATATTTCATGTCAATTACATTTAAGACTTATGAACGTGTTTCATTCATTCCAATTTTACTAACCGTTTTCAATTCTGCTGAGTTCCATAGGTACCTGGTTGATAGTTGTACCTCGAAGATCCAGAACCTTCAACCTTGTAGTGCTCATTAACCAACCCATGTTCAATCTCGTCAGTCGATTGTGACTCAGGAAAAGCGCCTACATGTTTTATTGACATATATAATCATGCTCATTATACAGTTTATCTGGGAAAACGTGTAGCAAGTAAAGAGAGCGAGTAAAACCACAGTAAGTTAAATATATAGTTTTATCAAAATTTTATTGGTACCTCTAAAGTGTAGATTCCGGCAAAAGCCTCGTTTTCGATTCTGCTCAAATAGTTGCGCTCCAATGAAAGTTCTTTGAGAACCGTAAACTTACGAAGAAATGAAGTTGGAACCGCTGTGATCGATCCTTCACTAAATAAAACAAGGCTTGGATATTGCAATATTTTGGATATAGCTAAGTTGTGATGTTGATATAGTCAAAGAAAGGGTGAACCCAAGAGCCTAAAAAATTTAAAAAAAAAATGGCTACACGGCCTATTTAGTGTAAATAAAATTTTATCGATACACTTACGGCATTCTCAAACTTGTTACGAATCCATTAGTATTAGTCGAGTCACTATCCAAGTTGTTGTTGATAAATGATAAACTTCCTTCGCCGAGAAGATGGAGGCTGGTCACGTGTTTAAATTTAGACAACTGTTTCACTGTAAACGTTGGTGTTTTATCCCACCTGCAAAAAAATATTATAAAAATAATTTCTAGCAACACGTCAATTTTTTTGAGAGTAAAACAGCGCTTATGTTTGTTTCCACTTAAACTTTGTTTTTCTAGTGATTTCACAAACTCTATATGAAAGAGATTTAATGATGTAAATCAGGGTTTGTAACCTGCGCCCCGCGGGCCCAATGGGGCCCACGGGGAAATATTGTGCGGTCCGCGAAGAAGTATCAGTTCTGAATGATGTGCTGCCCGAGGAACGAGTGCGAGTAATTCCAATCTCTTTGCGTTTCAGAGCCTATACCCGAGTCATGTGATTAAAAACCAAAATTTCGTTCGTGCAACTACTAGATAGCCCATGTTGAGGTGCGCCCCGCAGTTTCCTGTTACAGGTCTTGGTATCTGTATTAAAGGTTGCACACCCATCAAGTCAATTGTTCCATGGTTCAAATAGGGTAGTGACTGGAGGGGCAATTAAAAGCAGAGGTGTTGACGACTAAGCCAAATTATTGTGAGTGAGTTTTAACATTATATTGCATAAAACAGGAGTACTAAATTCAATAAATATTTATGGTTTCTTGAATCACGTCCAAATTATAAATTAGACTGAAGATGTCAAATCATAAATAATGTCACGGAATCATATATATATATAATATCTAAGTTCATGTGATATGACCTTTTAAAGTCTACTATATCTGTAAAATGTCGTGATTTAATTACACATTTCTAATAAAAACCGGATTGTATTACATACCATCAAAGCAATAGCAATTTAATCGTGGGTAACATTATTTGAATCCGCAAGATCGTGATAACACTAATGTCGTGGAAGCATTTAGCATTCATTTATTAGTCACGATTACATACTGAATGCAATGCTAAATTTCAAATTAGCTACAGAAATTAATTACAATATTTTGGGAACAATATTGATAAGACTGTACTGCTTGTATACCAAATGGTGATTATTTAACTTCAGCACCTGATAATAATATCTCCAATACTAGATGGTACAGCTGAAAAATTCATATCGTCGTATCTTCCACCATCGCAAACAAGTACTGGGTAGTGAGATATTGATATTTTCCTGAAAGACAAAATGTTTGAAACTTTGGTGCAGCTTTCACTTTAGGACATTTGTATTAAACAAATTTTTCAATCATATTTTTATAAAGCAAACCAATCAACAATTCTAATTTTACTCAAATGAATTTTTTTCAACTATGAACTATGTTTTACTTCCCAATAACTGTTATCACACAAAAACTAGAGTTAAATGCGGCTCTATCACTCACTGCATTCCTGGAAATAGCGCCAAATCTACTTCATCGTGGTCACCGTGTTCATCATTGTCGCTGTGGTCATCTTCATCGTGGGAATGCCCATCGTCGCCATGGTGGTGATGGTCATCGTCTATGCTGTCATCATGGCTATGATCGTCTCTTATGTCATCGCTGTGGCTATGGAGATCTGTATCATCGTGGTGATGATGGTCATCGTCTATGCCGTCGTCGTGTCTATGGTCATCTCCAATATTATCGTCGTGACTGTGGTCATCGCCGTGGCTGTGGTCATCATCGTCGTCGTGATGATGGTGGTCATCATCGATTCCATCGTTGTGGTGATGGTGGTCGTCTTTGATATCATCTGTATGACTGTGATCGTCGTACTTGCCATCATCGTGGTCATGGTCATCACCATGACTGTGGTCATCGTCGTCGGCATGATGATGGTGATCGTCCATGATGTCATCGTCATGGCTATGGCCATCATAGTTCCCGTCATTGTGATCATGATCATCACCGTGACTATGGTCATCACCGTTTTTATGATGGTGATGGTCATCATCGACTGTATCGTTGTGATGGTGGTGGTCATCTGCGATATTATCGTCATGGCTGTGGTCGTCAGCCCTTCCGTCGTTGTGGTCATGATCATCGCCGTGACTATGGTCATCGTCGTCGTTGTGGTGATGGTGGTCATCCGCTATATCGTCATCGTGATTGTGGTCGTCATAGATTTCATCATTATGATCATGATCATCGCCGTGACTATGGTCATCATCGCTTTCATGATGGTGATGGTCGTCATCGACTGCATCGTCATGGTGGTGATGGTCATCTTGGATGTCGTCATCATGTCTGTGATTGTCATATTTTCCGTCGTTGTGGTCGTGGTCGTCTCCGTGACTATGGTCGTCATCGACTTCGTGGTGATGGTGGTCATCGTATATTTCGTCATCATGGCTGTGATCGTCAAACATTCCGTCATTGTGATCATGATCATTGCCGTGATTATGGTTATCGTCGCCATGGGTGTGCCCATCGGAAGTGTGGTCATCATCATGAAATATGTGTCCGTGCTCGTCGTCATGAGTGTGCCCGTCGTTTGGATGGTCACCATGGAAAGAGTGACCATGACCGTCATCAAAACCATGAGTGTGTCCGTCCACCACATGTTCTTCGTGATGGACATGACCGTGGTCAATAGATTGAGAACTACGGGAAATAATAACACAGTTGCCAACACCAGGCAACCGTTCGCTTCTCCAGGAAGGGTCAGACCTCCATCCAATTTCAGAATACTGTTGCGTGACACGAGCACACATCAGCAATAGGATGAAAAACTCTTTCTGAAGTAACAATACCATCGTTTCATACAAACTGTTTAAAGTAAACAGACGTCCTAAAACTGAAAACAATATAGTTTTGACAAAATCTCGTAATAAGTTTTCATGTACTATATTGTTAAACAAGTGAAAGTAAAAAGTAAAAAAAAAAAAACAGGGACACAATAAAAAGTGAGAAACATTTGATTTTATCTCTTTCGAAGATAAAATTTTATTGTAACTGAATAAAAAAAGGGCATCAATGGGAGCGATTCTGAGTTTTACAATATTAACCAAAGCAGAAATGTTGAAGTACTAAAATCCAATGGGTCAAAAATAACAACCAACCTTCTCTTGGACATATAAAATACTACTCCCCTTCCAAATCTAATAGAACAAAAGAGTTGCTTTAAATATCTGAACCCATTTCAGGTTTTCAGGTACCTATTATTAATTGAACTAACTTGATTTTAGGAAAACATTTCGACTTGAAAACTTTCGGTACCATCGTTTTCTTAACTTGCTTCCTGTGTAGCATAACGTCACTGGCTCTGATGGTATTTGCATGGTAGCTATTAATGTGCTAAAAAGGCTCCAGCAAATGTCTATGGTTTCTACGGAAAAAACTGATATGGCAGACAATAAATACTCAAAGTCATCATATTTAATTAATTAGCAAACACTCAACTCGGTATATTGACGAATTAAATCGACTACGTTAGGTATTACCGACGCTGTTTGCAACTTGCATCTATTATCGTGATGCCATTTCATGGTGCAAATGTGATTTATTGATTCATGATAAATGCCTAACAAATTATGGATCCTGCAATGCCGAAGCATGATAACTATTAGCAAAAAATACGAATGTATTGCTCTACGCCCCACAAAAAAGAGAAAGGTTTTTCTGAATTCTCTGTATTCAGTCAAAACAAATTTCCTTAGTCCAACAATCAGCAAATGTTTGTACGGTTGTACAGATAGCAAGAAATACGTTTCATTGCTTTTTCTATCATTCAGTCACCAAACTGCTTCAATACAAACACGTCTCTAGGATTCCGATTGTCTAAGCTTGTTTTGAAAGATTTTCTCAGAATAAGGATGTAGAGATGTAAATCACCTCATTTGGCACAGGAAGTCCAAAATATGTGGTGCAACATCAGTTTCAGTGGTTTGAATTTGAATAAGCGATATTCAATATAAAAAATTGTTCAAACTTGTAATGACATAGAGTCATAGACTATCAATTTGCACATGCAAATTTGGGATCTCATGTAGTTTCGTACCTAACATACTCTAGTGGGCGTAGCATGACAATTTTTTCACATATCAATCCTAACCCTCACCTGACTACACCATCCAAAAATTACATCATTACGACGTCACAGTGACGTAATAGAGCCCTTCAAACTATTTGAACTGCCACCCAAGATGCACCCGAATGCAAACGAGCACCCGAAATCGAACAGTTATTTCTCTCGTTTTCTCGTCGCAACGATTCCAATAGGAAAGAGATCAATAACGTCAGTCAGTTCTTTATCATCGGCGCCAATGCCATTTCGAGCGATCGTAAGTATATTTGGCAAGCTCTATGGCGTGATTGTGATGTCGTAGTGACGTAATTTTTGGATGACGTAGTTAGATGGGGGTTAGAATTGACATATCAAAAAATTGTTATGCTACGCCCACTAGAAGTACGTTAGGTACAAAACTACACGAGACCCGAAATTTGTTTCTTATCTATTTTTTGGGCTATTTACACTATGGCCATATAGGCTCAATACCAGTTCAGTTACATTTTTTCAGTACCTCCATCGCGACTGAACACCAATCCACCAAAAGCGATTACAATCTACAACGATCTTAGTTGAACGATATATTGTTTAAAAGGCTGCTGATGTTCATTGACCACCATGTCTGATATTTTTAAACACACGTCCTATTCCGTTTCTCCGACAACGTATAGTGTATTTTTTCAAGTCTATCGCAAAAAAGTCAAGTGCTCTTCCGAGGAAATTGATTTCTATTTCTGAGCTAGTTCTAATCTCAATTTATACTTAGTTTATAAAAATGTAAATCAAAACTTGTTTGATTTTTATTATACCAATAGTACTAGCTAGTCAGTGTGTATGTAGTACTACAGTCCTGTCTAGATCACGCGCAACATTCATTATTTACAGTTAGCGTTAGATTATATTGAGCATGAAACGCCAAAAAGAAGATCACATCACAAAATTATTTCAGTCGAAGAAGTCCTTCAATTTCATCATATTTTCGTGCGGATACCCGAGTTCCCGGTACTTTTATATTCCTAATAATCCATTGCCTTTGCGATAAAATGAATACGCTACGTAACGTTGCTGCATTGAGTTCCCCGAAACTTCCGTGTAAATTAACAGTGAAACTCGTGATGATCTTATTCACGAACGCTAAGTAGTGATGTGGCGGAAACACATCTTTTTTATCAAGTTTCATATTGATTATAAACTCATGTCGCTTCCTATTTCTTCAGTTGCTGAATCGGAAGCTTCGTTACGTATACAAGAACAGAATGCAGGTTAAGTTCATTTGAATCACAAATATGAGAATTAAAACTCAATTATATCGAATTGTATATAAATATATTATTGAGTTTTTTGTCTCAGTTCATTTTTATTGCAAATACCTTGATGGCATATTGCGTATTACGTTTTTTTTTTAAATAAATTGAGACAAAAGTCACCGGTAGACGCAATTAGACTAACCGGCCAGGTGATTTAATTTAACCTTAATACACTTTTAACGACAACTTTTGAATGATAAGTTTTTTTTCTCTAAAGTGGACAGATTAATTATACTGTAATGTTATAATTTTGGTTGCATTTTTAGAGTTTACGTTTTGCGATATATCGTAGGATCTTTCACATTGACATTCTTGCCATTTGCGAATATATCCTATACGCAAAGCCTTTGAAATAATCATAAACATGCATAAGGAATCACAAGGGAAAAAGGGAAAATATTTCTTAATGGCCAGTATTTCTGCTGGATATTCGCACCTTTCACCCCCAAACAGTCAATTGAAAGTGAGCGAAACGCATCATATATAACTGTATGTGCCAACAATGTTTTAAAGGCAAACAAAATGTAGGGCATAAGAGTCTCAAATCTCGATATGCAAGTTTTTTTGTCGATTTGATCAAAAATAATTCATTTTTCATCTTAAAATTATCGAGAAATGATAACGATGGTATACTTCTAGTATATTGCTATTATTATGAATTGTTTAAAATAATGAAAAATCTCAAGTTGTCGTTGGTATTCGGTGCCAATATTATGACTGAGTTCGAGATTATCCTTTCAAACATATACATACGGTCTTACGAACATACTTGCCCACTTTTGAATTCGACCAAAGAACTTCGAAAATTTTAGGATGACCAATCTAAATGTGATTGCAATATTATAGCAACTGAAAGATAAGCTATTTGTCCAAATCAAAGTATAAATTGAGGGGTTAAATAATAAACGAACTGAAAAAGTCGTGCATTTTGCTGAATTTATCTCAGCGACAAGCGTATTTCAATTTTGTTCAATTTCATATCATTCGGCATGAGAAGAAAATTTTCAGTCTCTAATCAGGATATCAAGGGAACAAATTGAATAAAAAATAAATAAATAATTGAGAGTTGACGTAAGCTTTACAAAGAATGTGCGCCGTAACGTAGTGTATATATCAAAACAATTGACCTCTACAAACTTTGATGAAGTCTATGTCTACGATAGGTTTGCAACTTTTTCATCAGGTAAACTTTCCACTTAAAGAAGAAGGTCCGGGAGCTTATGTAACAAATTCATATGAACTCCTTCAAAATTGTCTTTCGATTCACTAGTTAGAGCGAACCTGGGCACGTTGCGACCAAGGGGCTGCATCTGGCCCGTGGTAACGTTTCATCCGGCCCGTGAACAGATTTCTAGGTTTAGACACTTTCTTTTCATTCACATATAAAATATACTTTGTCTGTAAACTTTATTATTGCAATAAAACAGTGTTTTAGTAGCGATGAATCAATGATAAGCCCTTGTATTGAGTACCGATGAACAGCTGAAGTGCTCTGCCATCCCAGTTCCTAACCTATCTCTCTGCGATCTTATAGGTGATATGATGGGTTTGCAACTTTTCCATCTGTAATTTTTCTTTCCACTTAGAGAAGAGGCCCGGGAGCTTATGTAACAAATTCATAGAAACTCCTTCAAAATTGGCTTTCGATTCACTAGTTAGAGCAGACCTGGGCACGTTGCGATCGAGGGGTCGCATCTAGCCCGTCGTAACGTTTCATCCGGCCCGCGAACAGATTTCTAGGTTTGGACACTTTCTTTATATTTACATATTAAATATACTTTCTCTGTAAACTTTATTATATGCTATACGGCGCACACAAGTCACATAATCTAAACGTGAAATTTGTGCTGGTCTGGTAGTAGTGAATGCGATTGGGAGATAGGAGAAGTTGGATGACTTGAAAGTTGGGCATAGTTTTAATCACAACATATTTGTTGGTTTGTCTAGGTTTGGTAAGCCACGAACCTGAATAAAACTTTGCATTAGAAAATGCAGTGGCTTATGTTAGCTTCTTCAATTTCAAAATGATGTAAGTGGAGGATTGTGAATACATTTAACGCATCGTAGACAATTCGGATTATTATTATATTAGCCCAGATGTTAGGCTTTTCAGCATAAAGTTCACAGATACATACATTTCTAATCAATTCAAAAATAGAAGTGAATCGATATTACAAATATATTTTTCTATACAAAAAGAAGAAGAAGACGAACTCATGCTGAAACATTCTGGAAACTTAGATTTGCTGAAGTATACGGCAAGTGTATAGTCCAGGGCTACTCAACTATTTTTATCGAAGGTCCGCAAACAAACTTCAAAATTATTTGGGTCCGGTCTTTCCAGAAATGATATCTCGGCATCCTCAAACGAGCACTTCTTCGACCGACTAATGATTAGTAGTAAATTAAAAGTGTTTATTATGGTGTTATAGTTCTTTTTGTATATACTTAAAACTATGAAAGTCATTTTATAATAGGAAATTCAAAAAGTGGGGCTAATGATCCAAAATAAATAATTAGATGCGGTCCAAATCCAATACTCGAAAGGTCCGGATTCGGACCGCGGTCCGCCAGTTGAGTAGCCCTGGTATAGTCTACGAAAATAAATTTTCCAAAAAATCATTAAAAAAAATAACTCTACGCCTCGAACCCGGGCAGAATATTTTGAAGGTAAATTGAAGTGCTATCAGTGGAAGTGAAGGTCATGAAAGAATTTACCACCGTGGATAAATTGGTATACATGCTTTTTATAATGCCTCTCATGGAATAGAAAAACTTACATGCGATGTGCGAGAATGGGGTTGGTAACATGATATACATATACAAACAAAAATATACATATAGCATCGACTAAATTGCATATACAGCCAATGTCATATTCATATACAGCTAATTAATATACAAATACAGCCATTCAATCAATGTACACAGCCAATTTCTTATGCATGAACGAAAAAAGATATGTGAAAGTGATGCACATACGAAAGTCAATATCATATGCATATACACATACATTAGTATACATATACGGCCAATTGAGTAATATACATATACAGCCAATGCAATATGCTCATATGGCCTACGCAATATACTTATACAGCCACTCAAGTAATGCACAGAATCAGCTAATGTCATACATATAGCGATGTCATATGTATATACAAACAATGTCACATTCACATACACATTCAGTCATTTAAGTGATGTACAAACACCGCCAATCCATTTCTTTACATGCAATTGATGTATATCATGTACCGATGCGGTTGAATCCACGGGTCACAAGCTTTGGAAGTCTTATTCATATAATAAGTGCGGTAAAAATAACTTTCAGAAACTCCAAAGCGGCTTTTGATGGAAGTTACTTACAATAAGTGTAAAGTATATGCAAATAATCATTGGGATATCCAGGCTTGTCCATGGGAATTCCATGGGAAACGCCTCGAAGTTGTTAGTTATAAAGAGCAGAATATATTATAATAACAATATACTTCGTGAAGGGGCTGATGGACACATACACAATAGCAATGAATAGAAAGTTAACAAAGTCCGCAAATTTTGTTGTTTTGCATGTCTCTTCGTACATGTAGTCCTATTTAGTGTACGCTAAACTTAAATTTAACAATTTTTATTGTATTTGATTCCAATGGGAATCCCATGAGATGGGGCGGGACAGGCATAATTGCTATGGGATGGAATGGGAATGGGACAGAAAAATATGACCCACTGACAAGCCGGGATATCTATCAGCATCATTTAGTGAAAAGTCATTATCGCATGTTATTTGTGCGTAACGAAGCATCATGAATACATACAAGAGTTGCAATCCATGATGCCATAAAATAGAGCCTCACAACAGATGATCGTGATAACATGAAGATTGTGTTGCTGCCAACGATGACATTGAAAATCTATTGATTGATCTAAACGGCTATTGATTGAAATATCAAAAACGACTTGCAATTAGCGTGAAATAGATATATATAATAAATTGTCATGATATGAGCATCATTTATCGGTACGTCTTTACATGTTGCTAAATATTGGTTCAGGCATCCGAGGTCGCTTAGTTTAAAATACTCAGTCGCATTAAAAAGATTCATTCAATAAAATAAGCCATAACTTCGAATAACCAATAATTTTGCCATAATTCCTTCTATCTATTCCATTTGGATATGGCCGGAGGAATATTTTTAGAGATAAAGATGATTATAATATGACCATATTCTTTTATATGAGATATTTTCTGTAATTAATCGAAATGACAGCGGTTCTCAACGGGTTCATCGCAACAATTATCAAAATTATGTTAAACATATCTAAAATATGATTGAATATTTTACATGTTAAATATATTATAAATGACTAATTGTTCCTTATTTTATTGATGTATATATGAATCAATAAATTCATTTTTATCCTTTCATGTACGTTACTTTTTGTTACGTCGTGTCTGCTTCTATTGTTATATAACAATAGAGATAAACACGATGCATTGACTTGATGCAATTGTGAGTTTTTCCTGATGATTTGGCGCCGCAAGACCAAAAGTTTGGGGCCCGCTGTGTTATAGCATTCTGTATACTATCAGCAAAGTGTGTTTTTTCCTAAATGTATCACGGTTTCTAGTCAGTAGCAAGACATGTATCTGTTTCTTTATAAATCGAAATATTGCTTATTAGGTGTATGTAACAAAACTAAATGAACTCATTAGTTTCATCAGCTGGTATTGTGTAATGTTTTTTTTAATTTTTACCCCATTTTAACTGTTACGTATATTTGCGCTAATGAACGAGACAAGTGCCGAAATCGAAATAAAAATGGGCGATAGAAATTTGTTGGAAGACTTTAATATATTTTAGTATGTACGTAAAAGGAAATGAAGAGAAGAGCATATATAAGCAAAGGTGCTAGATTATTTATGATAAAATAACATAAAAGATGTTTTCCATATATATATATTTATCGAAACCTTTATAATAGGTTTTTCATATGCATAGGCCGGGAAACAGTATTACATTACACACTAATTAGATATTAACGTAATAAAACTACCATTATCAAATTCTCAAAGATTACGAATGGAACGTTGAAACGAATGAAACAAAGAGAATGTACATTCTACTTTAATATTTCTATTCCACACACCCATTTTCAATATAGACCGAATGACCGAGTTTTGATGCCATAAAATCAGTTTTCTATTTTTGTTTTACAAGAGTATGCAAATTTCTAGCGAAATAATCGTGTATTCAGTGGTTAGTGCTGGGATAGTGATCGGTTACTTGGCATGGCACCGTGCAACGAAACAGAGAAAATGGAAAGAAGTTGCAACTGTTACAAATCTTTTTATATATCCAATTAAAAGTTGCCGTGCGATGGATGTGAAAAGCTTTACAGCAAAAAATTAAGGAGCTATGACGAAAAGCGGAATAATAGGAGACAGGACTTTAGCAGTCGTGTACAACAAAGGTCGAGTTGCAAGAATTTCTGCAATTCATCGTATGGTTTTAGTCCGACCCAGTCAAGAACATCAAAATCAATTAATACTCGAAGCACCTGAGATGGATCCCATTAAGTTCAACGTGCCGACTACTGGTCAATTAGCAATGTTTAAACTAAACAAAAATACAGTTTCAGGAATCGATTGTGGAGACGAGGTTGCAGCATGGTTAACTAAATTTATGAGAGTGGATTCTGCTAGGCTCATTTTTCACGCTCCCAATCTTCCCACAAGAGAGAGTTCATTGTTTGTCAAGTTTGGTCATCTCGGCGTTTATTCAAAAAAGTTAAACTTGGTGTTTCAATATGGGTCACCTTTCAACATGATCTCGCAGGCTTCAATTGATGATCTGAACAAAAAAATGAATAACAAATACAACGCGACAGTTAGGCACTTCAGACCCAACATTCTGATTGACGGTAATTTTTTCCAATAACAATTTGCTTAGTCTCAAATGTAGGTTAGGTGTCCAGTGGTTCCCAAACTTTTTTGTATCAAAAATCGCCCCCTTCGTTATCGCACCCGCCCACCGGGAGTCTGGGTAGGCTGCTACACAATAATAAATGCTTATAAACATCTTGAGATTTAGTTCTATTGCGATACAGACAGTCAAGTGTAAACATGTTGACTCGAGCAGTCATGCCGAAGTGACTCGATCTAAATTCCGTATAATGCCGAAATAATGTATTCAGAAATTTTTCTTATGTATTTTTATCCGAAACTGCTGATGGTATGATGTATATGCTGTAGGTTTCAAATTGAATCTCATTTTTATCTATATATATTATCTATAATTTTTTCATCTCGTTATGAAACTAAAAATTTCACTTTTTTTCTATACGCTAACTGTATTAGGTATATACAAACAATTTAAATCTATGTTTAATTAAAAATTTGTCCTAACTGCATCTACGATGTACCGATATCCATCAGAATTTACGTAAATATTTAGCCAAATATTACTTGTGCATTTCTAGTGATTTGAAGTATATTGACTGAACTTGTTATTATTTGCCAATGTACATTTTTTCATATTATTTATCTTAACAAAACTTCAAATAATTTTTCTAGGATGTGCTCCTTATGCTGAAGACAATTGGCGGCGCATGCGGATTGGTACGGCGGAATTTTTATTTATTCGTCATTGCACTCGGTGTCTTGTAACCACAGTAGATCCGAAAACGGGAATCAGGGATCCGGCACAGACTGCTTTGAAAACATTACGTAGCTACCGGTTATGCAAGCCAGAAGAAGGAAAAATGTGCGGAAATTCCCCAAAATTATCTGTAGAGTTTTTAGCGATCAAGAAAGGAAACGTTTCTGTCGGTGATAAGGTTTATGTAAAAGAATAAGCTTGATTGAATTGGTTCATGAATGAAAAAAAAATTTAAAAGGGAAATACATTATGCGGTATTAATATGCAAATAATTGCAATAAAAACAAGAGAGATATGCTCAAATATATGGACACGTAGAGTCACATAATTTTGATGACGTCATAGCGAAAAAAAAAAGTTTAAATTTAATATCCTTCTGGAGAAATTTTTTATCTTCAACCACTGAAAATTTCAAAGCGATTGGTTCAGTATTCGAAGAGAAAAGCGATTTCTTCAAAACGTATTGACGGAGACAAATAATAACAAAAACAAGAAAATTTTGAAACGATCGTTATGTTCATTACGTGTCCAATTATCGAGATATCAGTGAATTTTTTCTTATATGGATAGATAGAAATACTTTTGATTACAGATGAATTAAGCTTGTATTCATAAATCCTAATAATCCCAACTTTAAAATAATAAAAGCGTAGAATTACTATATACCATATATATAAAACAAAAAAATTGTGTTTTGATATATATTAAATAAAAAATAAATGTTTATGAATACCATACTGCATGACCGAGGCATTTAAGTCTACCGGGCGGGACGCCGGAACAGCTTGTTAAAATCTCGACATTCGTACTATATCCGGAATCAGTCATGGGTTTTGATGTTTGACTCCGCCTTTCAGTGTGCAGAGCGACGCATGCTATAAGATGAAAATTGATTTGCTGTGGGGTTGAAACCTGAATTTCGCCATCCCAGACTTTTTGTTCTTCTATGGACTTTCCAACATGTCGAACCACTGTCTGACATTTTCAAAATTTTGTCCAGCGTGAATTATTCATAGCGTTGGCGAGTGGATGGGTCTTCCTAATCTTGATATGGGGCAGTTTAGGTAACAATGAACCAGGGTTCAATGAAAAATGCTCCACTAGACATTGAGTGAATTATCCATTGAGTGCTTGGAGGCCTAGAGATGCGTTATTTTTTGTCGAATATTGAGGGCTGGGAATGGTTAACCGGTTAATCGGTTAGCCGATTTTAGACGGTTAACCGGTTAATTTTAACCGGCTAACGGTTAAAGTGTTTTCACTGAAATTTCCAGCGCTACTAATATAATGATCAAAGATGTAAGTTTCAGAATTTCGAATCGAAGTGATTCGAATCAACATCAATTCGAATCTATTCGAAGCAATTTAAGAAAAAAGGACTTGATTCTATTTAAAAAAATTAATAGATAACACAGCGGCGCTGCCTTTTTATCGACCAAAAGCGTTTATTATCCTTACGTTTACAGCATTCCGGAGCCGTGACAGTCATCATATTTCTTATTATTAACTGCTTTAGAGGAACCAATGGTTTCGCTCAGTTTTGTTCGACTATTTAATATGTTACAAAGTTTCACGAATATTCTAAACGTTTCTTCAAATTATCTACATAATAATATTATAATAAAACATCATTGCTTTATACGTCATAAAAACATGATGCTTCTTTCAATATCATTGCCTCTTAAAATCATGACACATACGGTACTAACTAGCGTTTATCATTTGGATGGATTTTGTAGGTCAATTTTAGAAGAAACAATCGCTATACACCCGATGTTATTTTCAAATATAATTGTATGTAAGTAAATATGTAACTGAGTATACCTTTATGTAACAAAAAATAAATCTCAGCCGTAATATATTTAGTAGTTGATAGATCCATGCAGTGTGTTTTTCTAGTAACTTTCTTAATTCTTTAATATCATAATTGCTATTTTATCAAAATTTATACTATATTTCTTCCAAATTTGAAGAAAGTAAACGATAATATGATGACATACTAAATAGAATCAGATTCGGAAATATTCGAATCGGAACATTGTGATTCAAAATTCGATTCGAAAAATAAATATTCGAAACTTGCATTCCTAATTATGATACCTTTTAGCCAATGGCTCAATTTGCAATATATTCTGGATTGAAAATTAGTTTTTCAGAGTGTATAAAGTAAATTTCTTTTTGCCAGAATCAACCAGATGTGACACTACACATACAAGTTCGTTCGCCGCTGTCCACTAGTTGAGGTGGAAAGTTCTAGGGATGGCGGAATCGACTCCGGATTCGATTGAAGAATCGATTCTTCGTGGATTTGACTAGAATCGATTCCGATGACTTGGTTATTGAGTTAAAACATGGATTGCAAACGAAGTATAACGTTTTGTGGTACATGTATGTATAAACCGCTATCTGGAGTTGCTACGACGTCGTAAACTTCACAATATTTCCACACTCTCATCCCACTCGCTCGTTTGCGGTTTGTCACATTCCATTCGTCACATTTTTTGCCTTACCTATTGCGTTCATAATTCATATTTACTTGAAGCAAGATGGATTCGAAAAAGTAAAAGGCCTGTTGCAATGTTAAGCATAAAATGTTCACACCGTAATCCGGCAGACCGGAATAGCTAGTTCTTCAATGGATTGAATGAGACATATATTGAAAATCTCATCAATGATGGTATTGACGGCTTTGAAGCAAAGAGTGGCGACATTGGTGAATTGGCCAGGGAGGTGGAGGCAGCTGAGATATCAAAATATTTGAATGAAAGAAATTTTGGCATATCAGCGATCCAAGAAGAAATGTTGCAATGATGGCAACAAAACAAAAAAATTTTGCGGGCATCGCAGTTGTCGTCTAAAAGTACCTCTGTGTCCCATCAACATCCGCTGCACCACAAAGAGCATTTAGCTCAGTGATCGAGACTCGAAGGAAAGCATGTGAACGAATAGAACTTTAGATTGCAATAGATTTTTGTTTGCTACGATAGTGATTTTTATGGACTCAAAGTGGACATACAGATCGTTTTGTTATTATGTTGTTTTTGTTGTTGTTAGAATTCATTTTCTTAGTATTGTTATGAAAGAATAACTTTTCTCACTTACTGGGACTATTGCTTTGAAATTTTCAGTGGTTGAAAATTGTAATCTTTTTTGGAAACCTATTACGTTTATTTTATGTATTTCAAAAATTTCTGTGGGCTCTAAATGATACGTTTTTTGTGTGCGATTTTAGATTTGGTCTTTGTGTCGATATATTTGAACATCGCTCTCTTGTTCGACTTCATATGGTATTGATTTGAGTTGGTATGTTTTCTCGGTAAGCTATGTCGAGGAATCGATATTCGGAATCGAGAATGGGAATCGAAAATTTAGAAATCGGATAAGAATCGAATACTTGTAAGTAGTCATACTTAGCATTCTTAGTAGTAACTATACGATTGATACTCTCACCGTTGATCCTTTCACAATGGCAATGACGAACACACGCATATTTGTACATCATTATAATGGCTGTACTTGTATATCTAATTGGTTGGCTGTATATGTATATAAGTTGGCGGTATATGCATATTCTTGGTAGTACATGCATGGAATGTTACCAGCCCTGTCGATATGCGGCGCGTTGTTATCATTAAGATAATTAAATATAATTTTCTGTTTTTTGTAACTGTTCAACTTTTCTGTTGTAGGTTATGTAATTTTGTATTTCACGTAAATTTCTGGAGCGGAAAAAAGTTTGGAAACGACTGTTATAGACTACAGTACCAGCTGCTATCTGCACTTTGTGGAATGATCGGCGCTTGTTATTTCACGTGATCACTGATCAATAGAGTGAGTGATCAAAGCCTAAATAAAACTCACTGATCATATAAAACCGTATGTTTTATTAAAAAAAATCCTCTGAAATGCCGGTATATTAAAACCTGCATCACTGTTTAAAACTAACCTTTCAGAGTGCAAACATGCTAAAGTACATACCATCATCCATCCTCGACAGAACAGCTTGTTTAATGAAGTAAAATAAATATTGGTTCAAGCAGCTGAGGTCGTTCAGTTTAGAATTCTCAGATGCATAAAGTAAGATTCATTCAATTAAATAAGTCATAACTTTGAATGACCCGTAATTTTTTCGTAATTTCCTCCATTTAGATATGGCGAGAAGAGTGAACAACGGATTATTGTCATTTTTAAAAATTAAGATGGTTATGAAACTACATTTTAAACATTTATTATCAAAAATACCAAAATTTAGAGTGTAGTTAAGTGTCGTACTGGTTTCACATTAACAATAAATACTGAATATTTGTTGACGTTCAATTTGGTAAATTCCTCCGATAGTATGAAAACGGGAGAGAAGTAATAATTAATCTAATATAGTAGTAGTATGAGAATTGTATATGCCCATTTTATTTTATATAAGATATTTTCGGTTATGATTTGTTATGACATTCTGTATGCTGCGCAGCAAAGTGTATTTTTGAAAATATATCAGTTACTAGACAGTAGCCAGACCTTATTGCTTAAGTGATTTATTAGGTCCTACTGTGTTTCTGGATCAAGTTAAACTATCTAACCTGACGCAAAGGTATGGAATGAATCTGTTTCTTCATAAATCGAAATATCGTTTATTAGGTTATGTAACAAGTTTAAGTGAACTGAATCATACAGTATTTTGAAATAAATAAAAGTTTAAGTGAACTAAATCATACAGTATTTTGAAATAAATAAAAGTGAAAGTTTTCATAACAACAATAATAGCAAGAGAAGGAAAAAAAATACCAACAACAACCTCTAACTGTTGCTTCCATACGAAAACACTTCGAAGCAACGAGCATTATACAATATGTACAAATTGGCGGTGAAAGCTGGTAAATATGAAATCAGTCTCGAACCAAAGTAAGTTACCAAACTTTGCAAACATTGCTTGTTTAACAAAGCTAACCACAGAATAAATATTAGTTCCATCAGCTGGTATTGCGTAATTTTTCTTCATACCATTTAACTGCTACGTTGACCAGCACCAATGAACGAGACAACGAATGAAATGAAAATGAGCAAATTTGTTGGAACACTTTAATATATTATGTATGTACGTGAAAGGAAAGGAAGAGAAGAGCATATATGAGCAAAGGTGCTAGATAATTGATTTATAATAAAATAACATAAATTTATCAAACAGCTATTTAATTTGAAGGCATATGTTATATTACACTCACAGATTCTCAAAATGTTGCCCGTGCACTCCAGAGCAGTGTCTTAACCTAGAAGTCCAAGTTCGTGTAACGTTTTGAAGGTTAACTTGTGAGATATACGCAGTGTTTTTCAACCTTTTTCGAGCCAAGGCACACTTTTTTCAGTGAGAAAATCCCGCGGCACACCACCAGCTGAAAATATGGGGAAAAGACCTAATATTCACAATATAAGTGTTTTATTGTTAATATAAGATTTTTAAAATTGAAGAAAGATGTTGAATAGGACATCCTGAATAGTAATCAAATAAAAACAAAGACAAAAAAAATCGCCACCTGATGCTGCCACGATCTGATATAGAACAGTACTACATGATTACTCTGCCGGGCGCCACACCGCATAGACACACAACTTGGAGAATTTCCCACGGCACCCCTGACAATATTTAACGGCACACCGGTGTGCCGCGGCACCCCGGTTGAAAAACACTGCGATATAGGTCCAAGTTCTTCCCAAGCTCGTTCTCAAATCATCAATAGATTTTATGTCACGTCGACAGTTCTGAATCTATGTTAATACCAAGTTCGAAATGCAGTAATTCATGACATTAATGTATGAACTTTTGGAAGGCCAATCTTCCGGTTAAATGAAATCAGGATTAGGTTGCTGAAGAAATTGAACTGAAGCCCTGGCTGTGTGAGCCCTGGCATCATCCTGCTTTCATGTCCATGTTTGGTCACCCATTACATTCCGTATATCGCTGAACATCTGTGGACACATCTCCTCACAATAAATTTGTTGGTTTACTGTTTTATCTTCTTCTTCCAACATTACCAAATTCTCAAAGATTACAAATTGGACATTGGAAAATAAAAAGAATGTACATTCTACTTTGATATTTCTATTTGACAACATCAAGTCTCAATATAGATCGAATGACCTAGTTGACACCATTTTGATGCCATAAAATCAGTTTTATATATTTTTTTTTGTTCTACAAGAGTATGCAAATTTCTAGCAAAATAATTGTATGTTCAGTGGTTAGTGCTGGCATTGTGACCGGTTACTTGGCATGGCGCCGTGCAACGAGGCAGAGAAAATGGAAAGAAGTCGCAACTGTTTCGAATCTTTTTATTTATCCAGTCAAATGTTGTCGTGCGATGGCTGTGGAAAGTTTCACAACAAAGGAACATGGAGCCATGACGAAAGGCGGAGTAATAGGAGACAGAACTTTAATAGTCGTGTACAACAATGGCCGAGTTCCAAGAATTGCTGCTGTTCCTCGTATGGTTTTAGTTCGACCCAGTCAAGTACATCAAAATCGATTAAAACTCGAAGCCCCTGAGATGGATTCAATTGAGTTCAACGTACCGACTACTGGCCAAGTAGCAACGTTTCAACTATACGAAAAGACAATGTCAGGAATCGATTGTGGTGACGAGGTTGCAGCATGGTTAACTAAATTTATGAAAGTGGATTCTGCTAGGCTCATTTTTCACGCTCCCAATCTTCCCGCAAGAGAGAGTTCATTGTTTGTCAAGTTTGGTCATCTCGGCGTCTATTCAAAAAAGTTAAACTTGGTGTTTCAATATGGGTCACCTTTCAACATGATCTCGCAAGCTTCAATTGATGATCTGAACAAAAAAAATGGATAACAAATACAACGCGACAGTTAGGCACTTCAGACCCAACATTCTGATTGACGGTAATTTTTTCAAATAACGATTTGCTTAGTAACAAATGTAGGTAATGGGGTCCAGTGGTTCCCAAACTTTTTTGTATTAACCCTCCCCCCCCCCTCAACTCCATGTCACGCGAACTACTTTACAGCGGGGAGGAGTCAAACAATCCTCTCGCGTGTGATTATCGCCAACGGGATTCAAACCAGTACAGTAATCAAGTGTACGATGCACCAGCCGCAGAACAAAAACAGGTTTCGCGAAATCGCCCCCTTCGTTATCGCATTCGCCCACCGGGGGTCTGGGTTAGGCTACACAATAACAAATGCTTATGAACATCATGAGATTTAGTTCTTTTGCGATACACGCAGTCACGTGTAAACATGTTGACTCGAGCAGTCATGCCCAAGTGACTCGATCTATATTCCGTATAATGCCGAAATAATGTATTCAAAATTTTTTCTTATATTCAAAACTGCTGATGGTATGATGTATATGCTGTGGGTTTCGAATTGAATCTCTTTTTCATCTATATTTTAATTTTTCCATCTAGTTGTAAAACTAAAAATTTCACTTTTTTTGTACTGTATTAGGTATATACAAACAATTTAAATCTATGTTTAATTCAAAATTTGTCCTAACTGCATCTACGATATACCGATATCCATCAGAATTTACGTAAAAATTTAGCCGAATATTACTTGTACTTATTATTATTTGCCAATGGACATTTTTTCATTGTATTTATCTTAACAAAACTTAAAATAATTTTTCTAGGATGTGCTCCTTATGCTGAAGACAATTGGCGGCGCATGCGGATTGGTACGGCGGAATTTTTATTTATTCGTCATTGCACTAGGTGTCTTGTAACCACAGTAGATCCGGAAACGGGAATCAGGGATCCGGCACAGACTGCTTTGAAAACATTACGTAGCTACCGGTTATGCAAGCCAGAAGAAAGAGAAATGTGCGGAAATTCCCCAAAATTATCTGTAGAGTTTTTAGCGATCAAGGAAGGAAACGTTTCTGTCGGTGATAAGATTTATGTAGAAGAATAAGTTTGATCGCATTAGTTCATGAATTAAAAAAGGATATCAGGGAAATACACTAATGCGGTATTAATATGCGAATAATTGCAATAAAAACAAGAGAGCTATGCTTAAATATATGGACACGTAGAGTCACATAATTTTGATGACGTCATAGCGAGAAAAAAGTAATAGCCTTCCGGAGAAAATTTTCAACTTTAACCACTGAAAATTTTAAAGCAATTGGTCCAGTATTCAAAGAGAAAAGCGATTTCTTCAAAACGTGTTGACGGAGACAAATAATAACAATAACAACAAAATTTTGAAACGATCGTTATGTCCATTACGTGTCCAATTATCGAGATATCAGTGAATTTTTTCTTATATGGATAGATAGAAATACTTTTGATTACAGATGAATTAAGCTTGTATTCATAAATCCTAATAATCCCAACTTTAAAATAATAAAAGCGTAGAATTACTATATACCATATATATAAAACAAAAAAAATTGTGTCTTGATATATATTAAATAAAAAATAAATGTTTATGAATACCATACTGCATGACCGAGGCCATTAAGTCTACCGGGCGGGACGCCGGAACAGCTTGTTAAAATCTCGACATTCGTACTATATCCGGAATCAGTCATGGGTTTTGATGTTTGACTCCGCCTTTCGGTGTGCAGAGCGCATTGCTATAAGATGAAAATTGATTTGTTTGGGGGTTGAAACCTGAATTTCGCCATCCCAGTCTTTTTGTTCTTCTATAGACTTTCCAACATGTCGAACCACTGTCTGACATTTCCTAGATTTTGTCCAGCGTGAATTATTCATAGCGTTGGCGAGTGGATGGGTCTTCCTAACCTTGATATGGGGCAGTCTAGGTAACAATGGACCAGGGTTCAATGAAATATGCTCCACTAGACATTGAGTGAATTATCCATTGAGTGCTTGGAGGCCTAGAGATGCGTTATTTTTGTCGAATATTTAGGGCTGGGAATGGTTAATCGGTTAGCCGATTTTAGACGGTTAACAGTTATGATTTATTTTAACCGTTGACTGACATCTCAGGTACAAGTCATCTTTATAATGTACAATTCCTTCAAAAACGATAACGTCATCGCAAATTTATCTTCTGTGACGTTTAATTTAAAAGAATATCACTAACTATATTGATAAGGACCCAATGAATGTGAAAATAGTACCAGGATTGCTGATTATAAAAATTTGACAATGATAAATTCAGAATCAGTTGTTGGTCGAAATATATTGTTCATTTTTTTTTTGCAACATCGTATATTCAATGTCACCCAACAAGTGCGCAGTTGATGCTGTTTTTCTTCATGATATCCCAAAGTAGAAATTGCACGGGATCGGGTTTTACTAAAATACTTCCGTACGTCCGAACCACGCTGCATATCTCTTGCAGCAGAGCGTTCATGGAACTATCTCGATTCGTGAATTATTTTGAGCGATACTGGATTAAAGATGAGGCGGAATTGCTTTGTAATCATTGTGACGTAAAAAACTACCTCACGCTGTGGTTACCCGGTTAATTTTACCCGGTTAATGGTTAAAGTGTTTTCACTGAATATGTTTTCAATATTATGATACCCTCTAGCCAATGGCTCAATTTGCAATATATTCTAGATTAAAAAGTATTTTTTCAGACTGTATAAAGTAAATAATTTTCTTTTTGCCAGAAATAAACATTTTACTTGTTAATATATAAATGTTGTGTTATTGAACACAGTAAACAGTTTAGCAATAAAAATAAGTTACACTTTTGTTTTAATTTGAACTAGCAGCGATATATGGTCTCCGATATCACTGCCAGGAAAATAATCATAACATCAAACTAACTAGATGTGACACTACACATACAAGTTCGTTCGCCGCTGTCCACCAGTTGAGGTAGTAAGTAGTAACTATACGATTGATACTCTCGCCATTGATCCTTTCACAATGGCAATGAAGAACACACGCACACTTGTACATCATCATAATGGCTGTATTTGTATATTTAATTGGTTGGCTGTATATGTATATGCATGGAATCCTACCAACCCTATCGATATGCGGCGCGTTGTTATCAATAAGATAAAATTTACTGTTTTTGGTAACTGTTCAACTTTTCGGTTGTAGGTTATGTAATTTTGGATTTCACGTAAATTTGAGTGGCGGAAAAAAATTTGGAAACGACAGTTATAGACTACTGTACCAGCTGCTATCTGCACTTTGTGAAATGATCGGCGCTGGTTTTTTCACGTGATCACTGATCAATAGAGTGAGTAATCAAAGCCTAAATAGAACTCACTGATCATAAAAACTGTATGTTTTTTAAAAAGCTCCTATGAAATGCCGGTATATTAAAACCTGCATCAATGTTTAAAACTAACCTTTCAGAGTGCAAACATGCTAAAGTACATACCATCATCCATCCTCGACAGAACAGCTTGTTTAATGAAGTAAAATAAATATTGGTTCAAGCAGCTGAGGTCGTTCAGTTTAAAATTCTCAGACGCATAAAAAAAGATTCATTCAATTAAATGAGTCATAACTTTGAATGACCCGTAATTTTTTCGTAATTTCCTCCATTCAGATATGGCGAGAAGAGTGAACAACGGATTGTTGTCATTTTTAAAAATGGTTATGAAACTACATTTCAAACATTTATTATCAAAAATACCAAAATTTAGAGTGTAGTTAAGTGTCGTACTGGTTTCACATTAACAATAAATACTGAATATTTGTTGACGTTTAATTTGGTAAATTCCTCCGATAGTATGATAGCGGTGTCTCCAAAATGTGGTGTCCCACTTGTACCACGTGTACCATTCTTTTCACTTGTCCCACGTGTCTCATTTGTCCCACGTGTGCCACTTGTCCCAAGTGTACCACTTGTCTCACTGTACCATGTGTCCCACTTATCCCACGCGTCAAGTGGGAAACGTGGTGCAAGTGGGACACGTGGTACAAGTGGGACAGATGGTATACGTGGGACACGTAATACAAGTTGGACAAGTGGTACACGTGGGACAAGTGGTACACGATGTAGAAGTGGGACTTGTGGGACACGACATTTTGGAGACATCCGTATGATAGTATGAAAACGGGAGAGAAGTAATAAGTAATCTAATATAGTAGTAGTATGAGAATTGTATATGCCCATATTATTTTATATAAGATACTTTCGGTTATGATTGGTTATGATATTCTGTATGCTGCGCAGCAAAGTGCATTTTTTTGAAAATATATCAGTTTCGAGACAGTAGCCAGACATATTGCTCAAGTGATCAATTACTGCGTTTCTGGTTCAAGTTAAACTATCTATCCTGACGCAAAGGTATGGAATGAATCTGTTTCTTCATGAATCGAAATATCGTTTATTAGGTTATGTAATAAGTTTAAGTGAACTAATTACTAAATCATACAGTATTTCGAAATAAATAAAAGTGAAAGTTTTCATAACAAAAATAATAGCAAGAGAAGAAAAAAAAAAACGTCCAACTGTTGCCTCCATACGAAAACACTTCGAAGCAACGAGCATATTACAATATGTACAAATTGGCGGTGAAAGCTGGTAAATATAAGATCAGTCTCGAACCAAAGTAAGTTACCAAACTTTGCAAACATTGCTTGTTTAACAAAGTTAACAACAGAATAAATATTAGTTCCATCAGCTGGTATTGCGTAATTTTTTCTTCAGACCATTTAACTGCTACGTTGGCCTGCACCAATGAACGAGACAACGAACGAAATGAAAATGAGCATCAAAATTTGTTGGAACACTTTAATATATTAAGTATGTACGTGAAAGGAAAGGAAGAGAAGAGCATATATGAGCAAAGGTGCTAGATAATTAATTTATAATAAAATAACATAATACAGGTTGGTAGTTAGAAAAACTGTCAAACAGCTATTTATTTTGAAGGCATATGTTATATTACACTCACAGATTCTCAAAATGTTGCCCGTGCACTCCAGAGCAGTGTCTTAACCTAGAAGTCCAAGCTCGTGTAGCGTGTTGAAGGTTAACTTGTGAGATATAGTTCCAAGTTCTTCCCAAGCTCGTTCTCAAATCATCAATGGATTTTATGTCACGTCGACAGTTCTGAAGCTCTGTTAATAACAAGCTCCAAATGCAGTAATCCATGACATTTACGTATGGATGTTTGGAAGGCCAATCTTCCGGTTGAATAAAATCAGATTAGATTGCTAAAGAAATTGAACTGAAGCCCTGGCTGTGTGAGCCCTGGCATCAACCTGCTCTTATGTCCATGTTTGGTCACCCATTACATTCCGTATATAGCTGAACATCTGTGGACACATCTCCTCACAATAAATTTGTTGGTTTACTGTTTTTTCTTCTTCTTCCAACATTACCAAATTCTCAAAGATTACAAATTGGACATTGGAAAATAAAAAGAATGTACATTCTACTTTGATATTTCTATTTGACAACATCAAGTCTCAATATAGATCGAATGACCTAGTTGACACCATTTTGATGCCATAAAATCAGTTTTATATATATTTTTTTGTTTTACAAGAGTATGCAAATTTCTAGCAAAATAATTGTATGTTCAGTGGTTAGTGCTGGCATTGTGACCGGTTACTTGGCATGGCGCCGTGCAACGAGGCAGAGAAAATGGAAAGAAGTCGCAACTGTTTCGAATCTTTTTATTTATCCAGTCAAATGTTGTCGTGCGATGGCTGTGGAAAGTTTCACAACAAAGAAACATGGAGCCATGACGAAAGGCGGAGTAATAGGAGACAGGACTTTAATAGTCGTGTACAACAATGGCCGAGTTCCAAGAATTCCTGCTGTTCCTCGTATGGTTTAGTTCGACCCAGTCAAGTACATCAAAATCGATTAAAACTCGAAGCCCCTGAGATGGATTCAATTGAGTTCAACGTACCGATTACTGGCCAAGTAGCAACGTTTCAACTATACGAAAAGACAATGTCAGGAATCGATTGTGGTGACGAGGTTGCAGCATGGTTAACTAAATTTATGAAAGTGGATTCTGCTAGGCTCATTTTTCACGCACCCAATCTCCCCACAAGAGAGAGTTCAATGTTTGCCAAGTTTGGTCATCTCGGCGTCTATTCAAAAAAGTTAAACTTGGTGTTTCAATATGCGTCACCATTCAACATGATCTCGCAAGCTTCAATTGATGATCTGAACAAAAAATTGGATGACAAACGTAACGTGACAGCTAGGAACTTCAGACCCAACATTGTGATTGACGGTAATTTTTCCACTAGCAAGTTGCTTAGTATCAAATGTAGATTACACAACAATAAGTGGTCATAAAATTATAGGAATTTAATGCTATTGCGATACAGACAGTCGAGCATAAACATGTTGACTCGAGCAGTCATGCCGAAGTGACTCGTTCTGAACTCAGAAAAATGCCGGAAAGATTGTAATTGGGACTGCAAGATTCATAAAAAAATTTCATGTTATTTCATCCGAAACTGCCCATGGTATGAGGCATATGCTGTGGGTTTCGAATTGAATCCCAATTTCATCTATACTTTGATTTTTTCATCTCGTTGTGAAACTAAAAATTCACATCGTTTCTACGCTGACTGTAGTTTAACTATATACAAACAATTTAAATCTATGTTTATTTTGAGATTTGTCCTAACTGCATCCGCGATGTACCGGTATCCATCAGAATTTATGTAAATATTACTTGCGCTTTTGTAGTGATTTGAAGTATATTGAATGAATTTGTTATTATGTGCCAATGGACATTTTTCATAATATTATTTATCTTAACAAAACTTCAAATAATTTATCAGGATGTGCTGCTTATGCTGAAGACAATTGGCGGCGTATACGGATTGGTACGGCGGAATTTTTATTTGTTCGTCATTGCACTAGGTGTCTTGTAACCACAGTAGATCCGGAAACAGGAATCAGAGATCCGGCACAGACTACTTTGAAAACATTACGTAGCTACCGGTCATGCAAGCCAGAAGAAAAAGAACTTTGCAGAAATGCCCCAAAATTATCTGTAGAGTTTTTAGCAATCAAGGAAGGAAACGTTTCTGTCGGTGATAAAGTTTATGTGGAAGAATAAGCTTGCTCTAATTAGTTCATGAATTTAAAAAAGTATATCAGGGAAATGCACTAATGCGGTATCAATATGCACATATCTGTATAGCTTAATGAAAAATATCGAGATATCTGTGGATTTTTACTATATGGATAGATAACTTTGATTACTGATGAACTAAGGTGTCGCTGACTCGAAAACTTTTACAGTCCTTCGCGACCCCTCATCGATTGCAATGAACCTATGACGTTATTTCTTACGTGTATATTTCAATTTTTTCAATTCCGTTATACACTTTTGTGTTGTGTTTGCATTGATTCTTGCATAATAAAAATAAATTATCTGAATCTAAGCTTATATTCAACCAACCCTAATAATACAAACTTCAAAGTAAGACAAGCATGGGTTTACCTTATATATACTATATATAAGAAACAAAAAACCGTGACAGTGCAGATGGGACAAACCTTGGTTCGAAGCTCATTAATATGCAACTCATCTGAATATCAGTGTTGCCAACTTGGATTATTTAAATCTAGATTTAGATTATTTTCGTATGATTTAGATGTAAGAAATACCCATTTAGATGCTAGATTATTTTCTAGATTATTTTAGCATTCATTTAGATATATTTAGATTATTTTGACAAATGTTATTTTGCATTGTTCTCTAGCTGTATAGTGGCAAAGAAGTGAAGTGCAGTTCACCGGTATCTATAGCAGTGAATAACATATGTAGAGAATAAATACAGAAAAAGGTACTGCAGTGATAGTGCTCAAAACAACAAGCAGACAAGGGAGATATGTCTAAAGAAACCAGTGGCAAACGATACGACCAGAAATTTCGAAAACAGTGGCTAAAAGATGACTCACTGAAAGAGTGGATAGCGCCCGTGGCTGCTGATGCATCTAAGGCATTCTGCAAGTTCTGTAAATGTGATGTCAAAGCAAAATATCAAGATTTGAAGCAGCATACTGAAACTCAGAAACATTTGAAAGCTTGTCCATTCACTACCAGGACTCTTGATCCATTTATGACTATTAAAAACTCTGAAACAGCAGAGCTGGAAGCGTCTATTTCCACATTTTTATGTTGCCACTCAGCTATTTCTAATTGCGACCATTTAGTTGATTTATGTAAAAGAAATCTCCCTACAAACAAAACAGTGTCTGAAATGAAAATGCACCGAACTAAATGTACCCATATCATAAGAAATACTCTGTGTGAGCATTTTAAAACAGACCTAAGACGAGATATTGGTGATGGCAGATTTAGCATTCTGATAGATGAGTCCACAGACATAACCAGTACATAAGTTACTAGGCATAATCTATAGTTTATTACAGCATGTCTGAAAAAAGAGATTGTGTCAACCTATCTGGAACTTACTGAACTTACAGCTTGTGATGCTCAGCACATTGTTATAGCTATTAAGAACGTACTCGGTTCACATAAATTGAGTCTGAAGAAATCTTGTAGCAATCGGAACAGATAATGCGAGTGTGATGATTGGCATAAATAAGGGTGTTCATGCACAACTGAGGGCCGAGATACCATCCCTTATTCTTATAAAATGTGTATGCCATTCTATTCAATTGGCAGTCTCACAAGCATCGGCAGATAGCCTGCCAAGACAACCTTAATTTTTGATTACCGAGACACATAAATGGTTCTCACATTCATCTACCAGGCAATATCGGTATAAGACTCTGTATCAAACTTTTGAAATGATGGCACATCACCTTTGAAAATTCCTAAAGATTGTCAAACAAGATGGTTATCTATTCAACCAGCTGTTCAAAGAATCTTAGAACAATGGATGGAACTAAAAACTCACTTTGAAGTTTCACGATTGTCAGAAAAGTGCTATACTGCAGAAGTTCTGTATGAAATGTACTCAGATGAAAAAAATTTGGCCTTCCTTCTGTTTCTAAGTCCAATTTTGACTGAAGTACAACAAGTAAACAAACTGTTTGAATCCAAAAACATTGAAAAAGTGAAACTATTAAATGATCTAACAATGCTGATGAAATCAATTGCAAAAAAGCTTGTATCGCCAACCTGTAATATTGATCTACATAATTCTAACATTGAAGAGTATCTGGACCCAAAACCATACTTAGGCTACAGATTTGAGTGGAAAATTCAAGATTTGAAGAAGCAAAATAAACTTACCAATACTGATGAAACTTGTATAAGAAAAAGATGCTGTGATTTTTTACTGGCACTGCATAAACAGTTAAAGCAGCGTCTACCTGATAATCTTAAAGTTCTGCAGAACATTTCTTGCTTCTCTGTTATTAACATGCTTCAACCACTTAAAGACAAAGCTGCCATCTGTGAAGTTATGAAATTTTTGGGGGCCTCTGATCAATCTATCTCTCAAGCAGAATACCAACTAAGCAAGATAAATCTTGTGGACTGGGTGCATAAGGATGATACAGAAGCCTTTTGGAGTGAAGTGGGTGACTATAGGGATGCTTCAGGATGCAATCCATTTTTAGAACTTTTCCAGTGTGCAATTTCAGCCCTAATTCTACCTCATTCGAATGCTGAAATTGAGAGAGTATTTAGTGCAATGAATTATGTCAAGTCAAAACCAAGAAACAGAATGTCACTGCAGCTGCTGAATGCCATCTTAACTGTAAAATTTGGGTTGATAAGAAAAGAAGAGTGCTGCTCCACTTACAAGTATCCACCAAAAGTCATTGCAGAGATAGGAACAAGCGCTGTCTACCAATATCAGAGCCAGTCAACTTCAGCATCTCATCCCATAGATCTTTCATATGTAGAAGATATTAACTTTAGAGAATTGCAACAGTTGTAGTTTGTACTTGTAATTTCTGTTACAGTTTCAAAAGTGTACATGTAGTCGCATAACTTGCTTATAATTAATTAAAATATTAAATGACCTGTATCACACGGATAATTATGCTGTGTGAACTTAGTAGTATCCCTATTTCGAGACAAAGGAACCAAATTACAGTAAAATAGGAAAATTCAATGTTCTATTTACTTCATAAATATTGTTATTTGTATATTGTTTCTTTTTTATTAGTGTATTTGATATTCGGTGATTGCAGACACTAAAAAGTAAATCCATAATTATTGTGGTGCAACAAGCTTTCATTTTTTCTCATGATAAATACTTAAGTTACCTTACTTATGTTCGAAAAGCTGTATTGATATGAGTAATCATTTTTCTTTACATTACAATCTTCGTTTTTTCATTGAAAATGTAACTTTGGTATTTTTGGATTATTATTTGGATTATTATTTTTTGAATTTAGATTATTCTAGATATTTTTTGTGAAGATTCTAGATTATTTTAGCACCGAACAGTTGGCAACACTGCTGAATATCAGTAATATTTAAATTATTGCACTTTCTTTTCGGCAATTTGAATAATCCAACGACAGTACAGCTAATGTTAAATTGACCTATCAAACATATAATAATTATGACATAACAATATAGTATTTCTTTCTCTCTCTCTCTCTCTCTGTTTCTCACATTGAACTAATGAAGTGAGTCGCGAATCGGTGGTAAATGGAATTCCTAACAAACAAAAAAACTGTGTATTGATTTTAAATAAAAAATAATTGTTTATGTCCACCATACTGCATGACCGGGGCAATTAAGTCTACCGTGTCGGACACCGGGAGAGCTTGTCAAAATCTAGACTGTGTGGCCTTCTTAACTAAAAACCGTCACTGTCGAGAATAGAAGTGTCAGAATTCATTTTAGATTGATTGAAATTAGGCATAATTTAAAATAAAACAATAAATTTATTTTAGATGCAATAATAGGCATTTGAAATATACAACAAGTAATTCTACAATGGCAGGCTAGTGGAACACTTTACAAACTTATTTTAAAGCATATTTCACAGTTGATGATGTTCCAATAGTGTAAAAAACTAAATGTAGATTATAATGTCACAAAACAGCATGTAAGCAACTCTATGGGTTGGTTAGTACAGTGGTTCCCAACAGGTGGGTAATTTCCTACTTGTGGTGAATTTAGTGGTTGCTAGTGGGGAAATACACGTACTGGTATAATATGACACATAATAAGCACAATGAATGTATTTTATTACAATATGAAAATCATGATATATATGTCACCGAGCAGAGAAATATACCCATGTCACCATAGGCGTAGCTAGGGGTTCTGCGGCTCATACCCTCACAACCGAAAAATTACTTCAGCATATATATTATGTTTTTTCGAAAAGCGATTTTGCGGCATTTTCATGAGACAGAAAATCGAACGTATTTTTCATCCCTAGTTCGCCAAATTTACAAATTTTCTCAGCATTCACCAACACCCATACAAAGTCAGAGTTGACAGGTATCATCATGCACATAATCCATTACGCTCAAATAATAAGTTTGTTTACTTTGTGCCATGATTTAGGTGTATTTCGTCTTATATGTTTACACATATATATAATATGTACACATATATATAATATGTTAGCACTGGTTTAGTAGGATAGGTCAAGATTTCTGTGTGTCGCTATGTTGAGTAGCCAACCCGTTGCGCGCTTTCTATGAAGATATAAGGTCTGCAATGTCACTCCCCGACAAATAAAACGGCACGATTAGCTCAGTAGTCGGCTTTTTTATCATTATATTGTCGCTTTTCCGTTTTCGTGATAGGCGAAAAAAGGTAAATCGGTACATATATAGTTTGAACCAGCAGCGATATATGGACTGCGGTATCACTCCTCAGCAAATAATCATAACATCCATCTAACTACATGTGGCACTACACATACAGTTCATTCGTCGCTGTCCGCCAGTTGAGGTGGTAACTATACGATTGATCACCTCGCCGCTGATTCTTTCATGATGGCAATGAAGAAGATACAAATATGAAAGGCGATACGAGGTCCGTCGTCGAGTGCAACCATGTCTTAATTAACACTATAAGATAACAAGTCGTTGCTCATTACGATTTCTATCGCTTGTCTAATTCTGAACACTCAATAAAAGCTTCTGCAAACATTCGTGGGGAATTTTGGAGCTTAAAGCAGCACTCCCCAGTATCACTTCACTGCCGAAGTTATACAAGCGCACAATTTCATCTATTTCAATTGGATCGTTTGAAGAGTGGATCGATAGTAAACCAAAGAAATTTTGTTTTTTCAAATATTTCTAGTTTGTGAGAATAAGGTAGGAAGCGCGGAGTTTGTGCGTACAACTTCTTTCT